TTGTGGAAACTATAATAATCACAATAAGCTGTATCATCTACAAAAACTGTAGTCTTAGAGCTTAATGTTTTTGATGTTTTAAAAAAATTTTTTGTAATCAATGTACAGTAATGAAACAAAATTTACTATTATTTTTCTTATATTGGGTATTCTTATAATATGTCACTAAATATTTTAATAAAGTACTAAAAAACAGAAATAAATATAAGAGAGAATTAAATATTTTTCAGTGGGACATGTATTAACAGCTGCAAATGGAATTGCAATCACAGGACGTGAGCTTGAAGATGGAAGAGACATTCTAGAAATGTTGGAGCAACCAGAAAATTTCCCTATAACATTGAAATTTAGTCGGGCAAAAATGACAACAAATGAGAAGATATTTTTAGCTTCAATGTTTTATCCTCTTTTTGCAATAGCAAGCCAACTGAGCCCAGAACCACGAAGTTCTGGGATTGAGATTCTTGAAGCAGATACATTTCGTTTGTATTGTTACCAAACGTTGACGGGTATTAAATTCATGATAGTAGCAGAGCCGTCACAACCAGGTATGGAAATTTTTTTGAAGAGAGTATATGATTTATATGCGGATTATGCATTAAAAAATCCATTTTATGCGTTGGAAATGCCTATTCGATGTGAATTATTCGAAACTAATTTACAAACATTGTTGGAAACTGTAGAAAAATCTGGAATAAGCAATGTTTAATATTAATTTACGTTAATAAATTAATTTAAAATAATTAAAGTATACATATAAGATTGTAATGGCTCCTGCAACTGATCGACTCTTGCGCCAATTTAAATATTGGCTACCTAATTGAATTTATGGGTTTTTTCCATCTAGTCTGACATAAATTTTGTTGTTTTATGGAAAGTATTTCTAAAATCACGTTAATGATAACTCATGAGTTTATAATATAATAGTAACTGTTATTAATATAACTATTAATTCTTGTTTTATTCATGACATCCTTTACAGATATTTATCTCTGTTAATATATATTAATTTATTTTTGTTTATATTATCTATGTATATTATATGTATATCAACATTTCTAATATTTTTATCTTTAAAATAGTTGAAAAGTATAAACGTTCTTAATGAATCTTCGTTCATGGCACTTTATTCCATTGTTGTTTTAAATCAGGCTCTGTAATCTGCAAAATAAAAAGTTAAAGTATCTTATATATGTAAGAACAAGGACGGAAGATTAAATTAAAAACTTAATAACTCGTTTAAAAATACCTTCATTGTTAAATTATCTATGCAAGCGTTACGTATACGTGCAGCAGTTGCAGGGGCATCAAATCTAAAATAGTTATGAATATTCATATCTTTACGCGCAGCCTTAATTGCCTCCTTAATGGCAAAGAACGCAGATGACGCCAAAAATAACGGTGGTTCACCAACAGCCTGTTATATTCAAATTATTTCTTAATATGATAAGAAAAATATAACAAGTATATAATATTATTTTATAGTACATTGCCATCTTATTTCTTTTCTTTGAAATTAATACATGCTAATGTATATAAAAACGTAAAATATTTGAAATTATATTTAAAAAAATTATACCTTGGAAGAATATACTGCTCTTGGATTGGAAACTCCTTTTAATAAGGAAACATTAAATTGCTGAGGTATGTCAGTGAAGCCCGGCAATTTATACGCGCCAGGTCCTCTACTAAGTAAAGCTCCCGTTGGTGAATAAATCAATTCCTCTAACGTAAACAAACCATATCCTTGCGTGAAGGCACCTTCAACTTGTCCTATGTCAATGGCTGGATTCAAGCTTTCTCCAAGATCCATCACAATGTCTGTTCGTAAAACCTATATCGATTAAAAAATATCAATATTCGTTTTATAAAATCCTTATGCATGCTTCTATAACATATTTTGAAATTTATAAAGTTATTATGAGCGTCGTTTGTATATTCCTAATATAAAATCTATGATAAAAATTATGACATTGATGTTTTAAAGAAATACATCAATATTTTAATCTTGTGATTAAAATCTATTAATTTTTAAATCTATTAATTTTTTAATAATACTTTTTCATACGGAATAATGTCATGAATTAAGTAGTGTAAAAGAATACATAATTGCTTTTCGAAAAAGGTATTAATTGCATAATTATACACATAATAAGATGTACCTCATGATCACCAGTAAGACAATCGATTTCGACCTCCGTACAAGCAACGCCATACGTAAAGTAATTAAAGGGATTCCCTGTATTAGTTTCAAAAGAATATCCAATGTTGGGCGTTTGATAGAAACCGGTAGCGGACAGACTTATCCTTTGAAAGTATGCTGCTTTTATCCACTCTTCCCAAGTATCTTTTGGATTGCTATTAATTATCGGTTGTAAACGGTTCATGATTTCCTGACACGCATTCTGAAAATTAATTTCTACAGTTGTTTAATCGACTTTTATTTGTGTATACCATAAGTACTATATGTTAAAGTATTATTACACACCATAACAGCCATGCCATTCAGATCAGATCCACAACTTGCCGCAGTCGCAGATGTATTGGGAACTTTATCGGTAGCCGTTTCAACGATATGTAGCTTTGCTGGATTTATTCTTAAAATTCTGCTAGCAATCTGACATAATATAAAGAATTTAACTTAACTTTTATTTCCTTAATTTCTATAGAGATTGCAATTAATTGCAATTTAGATTATGATTTACATATAGGATTACATATAGGAAGATACAAATGAATATTATTATATTATTCATACTTGAATCATTTTGGTGTTTAGACCTTGTCCCATCTCAACGCCACTGTGACTGAGTAGCACTGATCCATCAGTGTATACATGCACTAATGCACCCGCTTGATTTAAGAATAATGCAGTAAATGCTATACCGAATTTTGTAGGTACAATCGCGAATCCTTTTTTCCTAAATCGATTCTCTCTATAAAATTATTCATAAGTGACTTTAATAATTTGTAATTTAGTTTACAATATTTAATTTATGACGCAGACGAATTACTTGCCTATTGTATTGTTGAATCTCGATTATTCTTTCACTATAATGGGAAGATGCTAGACATTCGCGCCAGCAACGATCTAAAGTACAATTGATCAGTTGTTGGTTGTAGTGCGTTAAATCACCTTCCTTGTATAAATTTAATTCAGACAACTGTTTGTAAAAAAATTTTTCAATTATTAAATTTATTTCTATCTGCTTGTAATATATAAACTGGATGTAGATGTACAATTTTATACATAGTAGAGACTGAAATACATGGTGTAGATAAAAAAGATAGAGAAAGAAAGAGAGTGATTTAACGGCTCAAAATAAATTGAAATAATAAAACACATTTTTTTTAGAATGTAACTTTGTGATTAATTAAATTCTTTTTCGAGAAAATTGTATCAATGTTTATCGACCAATCTTGTGTAATTCAATTTTATAAAAATAGAAAATTATTTCGTTGCATATATAACTTATAATATCAAAAATTACCTTGACGACATCTAGATTCAGATAATCAGCGATTTGTCGAATGATAGTTTCAGCTAAAAACATCCCTTGTGGCCCACCAAAACCTCGAAAAGCTGTGTTCGATGGTAAATTTGTTTTACACACATACCCATATACTTCTGACACTGGGACTTTATATGAATTTTCAAAATGAAACATGGCACGTTCCAATACCTAGAAATATTAGAAAAAAATTCATGCTCTTTATGCGCATGTACATAGCATTGTTATATATAAAAGTTTTAACAGAAAGACTATTTTCTCAATTTACACGTTATTACTCACCGATATTGATAAATCGTGAGAATAACCAGCATTGTTATATATGTGTACTTTTACGACTTTGATAAGACCATCATTATCGAATCCAACTTTGTATTTAAACAAAAATGGATGTCGTGTTCCACTTATCATCATGTCTTCGTCTCTATCTAACATGCAACGAATTGGTTTCTGCAATCTATATTAAAATATTTGAATAATACAAATTGACAAACCAATATATGTAACATGTATACAGTATATATGTATACAAATATTCTGTTTACTGCATACATAATCTGTATATGTATTTTAATCAATATAAATTTTTATACACACTTATGTGCTGCCAGTGCCACTGGTATCGCGAGTATCGCTGCACGTGATTCCTTGCCTCCAAAGCCTCCACCTATGCGCTTTACACGAACATTAATTCTGTTTATGTGTACATTTAAGACATGAGCGATTAATTTCTGTACTTCAGTAGGATGTTGGGTGGAACAAAATACTTCTAATTCATTCTCTTCATGAGGCACGGCAATAACAGCGTTTGTTTCCAAATAGAAATGTTCTTGACCACCTATACGTACTTCTCCTTCTAAAATATGATCAGCTTCTGCAAAAGCTTTATCTGCATTGCCTTTAATAATACGCTTAGGAAATCCAGGGAAGAATGATTTATGCTTAATAGCGTCCTAAAAAAAAGTATTGGTACATTTAGATATATGTTGTACAGTTGAAAAAATAATTTAAGAAAGAAAAAATAATCATTTTTTGAGTGTATCAAGGTGTCTCTAAATTCGTGCTCGCGGAATACAAAACATTCAGTAAAGATACTAATACGGCTAATTAAATAAGTACGTAACCCTTGAACGCTTAAAAATAATGTTTTGTATAACAGCGATTAAAATAATGATAATAAGAGAACAGGGCGATCAAGATCGCAATATTATTTCCAACACTTTATTCACAATTTATTTCGTGACGAACAAATAAAATTGTTACCGTTACATATTATATAATTCTTTATATTTCTGATTATTGAATGTTTTTAATTAAATGAAGTAATTTTTCAGTATTGTTAATTGTAATTTACTGAAGAAGACCTAATTACAGGTCAAAACATCTAAATTAATGTCATATGCAATAAATTAATTTGCATATAACTGTCAGTGTTGGCTCTTAAGGTGTTTTTAATTTTTAATCTTGATTTATTTTGTTAGGGCCTAGGTAAATTTTAAGTTGTTTAACGCATATAATTATTGTGTTTTAACAAACTATTATTCTTTCGTATTAGTATAAATACCTCAATAGATATGATAATAGGTTCTAAATCTTCATATTCTATGTTGACAACACTTGCTGCAGCTTGAGCAGTAATTTGATCGGTAGCAACAATCGCACCAATTATTTGGCCTTGACTGGTAACCTAAAGAAAAGACTAATAAATTTTTAATTTTTTCCAAAGAATTATCGAAATTATTATAAGACAACAAACTTTCCACCTATCATGATAAAGTCATATTTTCAATTTTTGATTTGTTATAATAACGATTTGTTAATAACGCAGTATTATTCGCATATTGTAATATCATTTGATGTAACTTTGAATTACTTTTTAAATTATTGAAGCATAGTTGATAGCGAAACATAGCAATTTTGCAACAATGTGAATAAGGATTCTATTAACATTATTGCAATTTTCTTTGAGTATAGTGTCATTTATGCAAACTTTTGGTATAATGTAAACTATGAAGAAAAATATATTTTCTAAAAATGTAGAAATAAAATAATTCCTGAACGGTCAAGGAATCCATTAAAAGTTGTAATAAAAAATGACAAACATTTTTTTTTGTTATTTCGCGCATATAACATATAAGGAAAAATTGCAGTTTTAACAAAAATAATTTATATCATTGTTTAAGAACTTACTTTTTCTGATATAAATACTTCTTCATCGTGAAATATAGGACCTATCAATCTTTTATCTTCTGCTATATCTTTCGAAGAGAAAAACGATACGACTCCTTCCATAGATAGTGCTTTAGATGGATCAATTTTCAAAATTTTTGCATGCGCTCTAGTAGATAGAACCAACGCTAAGTACAATTCTTTTGCAAATTTAGGCATATCATCGCAATATATCGCTTCACCTGTTGCTTGCTTAAATGCACTAGTATGCACAATAGGACGTCCTATTAGATCATGTGATTTTTGACTTTTAGGTACCTGGTTAGAAATTACAAAAATAATTTTATTGTATTTAAGAGAATTTGTAAGTATTTTGATTAAAATATTACCACTTGATAATATTGCGAGCTTTTTGGTGCTTTATAATGGAAGCAATCCGAAGCGCTTTCTAGTTCTTTTGACATATACTCCATGTCCGAAACATTTTTTGATAATTTCTTAGAGATGTGCACAAATGCTTTAAAAAATAAACTAAAAAACACAACAATAATTTAAGTTCACATAATTTAACTTGTAGTATATTTTGTTAATTTATGATAATCCTCTTAATCAATTCCCTTAACTTAATTATTAACATTAATTAATATCAATTTTATATCGAACCTGAGAGTAAGAGATCGACGATATTTAATCATTCCTCCTGGCGCATTATCCGCTAATGGCAATTCTTCAAGTAAGGAATCGTAAACCTCTTCTAACATTGATTTATTCCATTTTCTAAAATGATAGTGTCCAATAAAAATTAATGTTTTTCCAATTCAAAGAAAAGAGACGTTTCTCTTGGTTTTTATGGTGAATATTTTATAATGAACTTTGACTTTCAAAATGTGATATAATTTCATTGAATCTTTAAAAAACTTTTATTTAAAATTATTATTATATAAAACAGACTATTTTAATATACTGCAATTATATGTATTCCTGAGACATTAATCTGTAACATTTTACTTTAGCCATCCTGTATATTAATTATGCTTATGTAAACTTAATTGTGTAATAACTTGATGATATCAATAATACTACCTTCCAATTATTTTCTGACAAGTTTGTCTTGCTAAGATGGTAGTTGGTGCCATCCCACCAAATGCGATATGCGCTTCTTGAATTATACTCGTCTCAGAAATGAAATATACATTTAAGGCCATGTTAACTATGGCGATATCATCATCTCGCCGTTTTGCTTGTTTGAAAGCGATGAAAAATTGATTCTAAAAAAATTTAAACTAGACATGAGAAACAAATCAGTAAGAAAAAATCTTTACTTACGATGTTATTATATAATAATAATAAAAATTAACTTGGGACACGAATAATCTATCGTGTAATAAAGAACTGGAAAATCATTATGTATTAAAAGTTAAAACTTTTATTAATTATTGATAATTAATTAATTATTTTACTTATTAATATTTTTTACCTCTTTTGTAAAAGGAATGTCAATAGAAACTAGTACTTCTTCAGGAAAAACAACATTACGTCGATATCCGATGAAAAAGGTATGATCCATTAAAATGGTTCGATTTCCATGTTTCAAACTGCATAAATTTAATTTAATACCTGCAGCCATAAAGATTGGATTTAAATCTGATATAGGGCTTCCAGTCATTATGTTACCACCCACAGCCTAATTAAGAAAAATGTATTATTCACATTCTAAGTGGCAATCCTAATATATCTATAATCAGAAAACAACTTGTACTTACAGCAACATTTCTTATCTGTTGTCCAGCAAACCAATGTAACATATTTATTATTTCCATAAAGATCCTTGTATTACATTCTATCAGGAAAACATTGTATATTATATTCAATATCTAGTTATTTATATAACGCTCAAATTTTTTCCGCTCAGTAAGATTATCATACATTAAAGTTTATAATTATAATATTACAATAGAATATAAGTCTAATATTACCAGGTTTTATTTTAATATAATGTCCTAGGGTTTCCTCAAGTTCAACTAATGTTACGCTTGCACCTATTCTCAACGCCTCTGGTGTTTCGATAACTTGACGCATTTCTTTTACTTGCGTTGGTTGTATAAGTATCGGGTATATTAAACGTCTGAATTTCATTTCAACCCCTATGTAATAATACAAATAATTTTTTATATGATAATTTTTTATATGATATTATTATTCTTGATATCGTAATATGCATTTGAAAGAGAAATATACGAACCGATTTCCGTGTTACCTATGATAATTTTAGCATTCGTATATTCTTCTTTAAGCGCAAGCAATGTCTTTAAATTCGTTGGTCTGTACCAAGTGATATCTCTTCCTTTCACTATCAGATATTGCTCATCTAGCTTAGAATCCATCTATATAAAAAATTGAGTACAATAAGTTCGTGTATTTTATTTTTTTATATTATGTTTTACCATTTATTTCAATTTTGTACTACTTTATACTCAATTTCTATAACACATATAAGGTAACTTGAAAAGTAACTTTTAGATAATTCATAAAATAACTTTGCCAATCTTTGTTTTGAGAATCCATTAGTAGTTGCATGGTTTTATTATTGATATCATTTTTATTCTGTAGCTTGTATCATTTTACTTTAAATCTTTTCAACAATAATAACTTACTTTCAATTTTGGCGGAAATATCGGTTCTTGAGTAGAATCGTACGGACAGAATTCTTTGGAATTGAAAATTTCAGTTGGTTTAGACGTGAAAACCTTTTTACAACAAGAATCACCCATTGAACAAACTCTTATGTTGTTTGTCTCTTCTTCTCGTACGTTGGTCATCAATTGCGATCGTTCCCATTCCTCTGTAAAGGTCTTGAACCCTTCTATAATCGGTCTATATCCTGTACATCTACACAGATTACCTATAAAATCAATCAATTATTATTATTGTTATATACAAGTATTTTATTAATGTATTATGCGTTTATATGTTAATTGTACTATGTACGTTTATATATCATTAATATACAAATCAATTTTATCTATATAAAGTTGTTACATAGATATATACACACGCAATGCCCTAAATGCATTACCTTGAAATGCAGTTTCTAAATTCTTTACAGTCGGTTTTGGTATGCTACGCAACAAAGCATACATAGACATGACTATACCAGGTGTGCAAAATCCACATTGCGATCCGTGTGCCATGGCAATACGTTCTTGTACTGGATGTAACTTAGTTTTTGTGCTACCAATACCTTCCACAGTGGTTACAGCTAAACCATGTACAGCACATACAGGTGTTAAACATGCGTTAACAGCTAAATGACTGATTCCGATTTATCGTAGGATATTAAGGAAATATATTTTTCAGATCATTAAAAACTGATCAAATTATTTTGTAAAATGTATTCACTATATTCCTAAAGTAGCAGAGTGAAGACAATATAGTGATGCCTAGTCTAGTAGACCAAAATAGATGACATTACATCGTCTTTTGATGTCATTCTGTTATTTAAGATACATGATAAAAAGGATACATAATTTTTCCAGTGACACGATCAAATTTTGAAATCATAACTGTGCAGGCTCCACATCCGCCTTCTGCACAACCAAGTTTTGTACCAGTCAATCCAACTGAATCATTATAATAAGGATGAATAAATTGATATCTGGTTAATGATAATATTTTTAATATGAGTAATTTAATAAATTTATATGAAAAAGGATACGTTTGTTGCGGAGATACCATAGAAGTGTCCATTGTGGTTCTATATTCTTATCTAATACCTGAAATATTGTATATAATCTAATACATAAAATACTGTATATAATATAATATGTAACATGTACGTATAATAAATAATATAGTTTATTAGAATTTTCGTTTTAAGACCGAAAAATCATTTTAGCGCGCAGTTTAATTTAAAGGATTACATACGTATA